TCTTGGCAAATTTGCTTATTAGAGACTGAGGAAAATGTGAATACCTTTGATCTCTCCAGCTTTTTCCTGTGGCATATTATAGGTTTGCGCCTGTACCAAAAGGTTATTGTGTTTGTTCTGATATGCTGAGGGAACGGACTGTGATGGGAAGGGACCCAAACATTTGTGTGGATTCTTCTGGATTGTCTGCCTGTCTCTAAACTGATATCCAGGTGCTAATACACAACCTGGCATCTGGTTTTTGTTTTCTGGAATGGGGCCTGTTTGGAAACAGAAGAAATCCACCAGAGATGAAGGGAAAGGACATGGATCTTTCCTAGACATCATTCAGAGTACTTGTGGTTTTTTCTACTCCTTTTATTATTTACTGTGGTGCAAACAAGGCTGCTCAAGATGCTGCTTCCCCCCTATGTTCTTAAACAGTTATCTTTTGTTTACAACTCACATAAATTATTGCCTGTCAAAAATAGAGCTTGATCAAAACCCACTGGAAGTCCTCCTATTAGCCCCAGTGGGATTTAGGTGAGCAATTGTGTCCCCTTCTGTCTCTTGATTAGCGATCAAGACGACATGTCTTCAGCAAAAAAAATCACAGAATGAAGCTTTTGGATCTATAATTATCACTCTGTTTCCCATTGCAAGGTTAATGAGGACTGCCGGGGTGGAAGTCTGTAACAGTAATTTAGGAGAATCCTTGCAACCCTTAGCACTCCACCTGCAGCCTCCAGACCTCTCTGTGGCAACCTGGAGGTCCCAATCACAGGGGAAACCTTCCAAAGCCATCCCAAGTAGACCATGCTGTTGCAGGGATGAGATGCAAAGTGGAAATGCATTGTTTTGCTCCATGAAGACCACCACTAGCTTTGCCAAGGTGATGCTGTTGACTCTGCTAATACAATCTTTGTCAATGAAATCTGCTTTGGGATGCTTCTGTTGTTGCCTTGACCAAAGGAGACACAAAGCTGAACACAAAACAGTCTGATCCTGATGGAGATTTTCCAGCTAATGACAATCCAAGTGCAGAGGTAGGCTATTGATCTGTTTAGTTTCTTTGCACTTTCCTTCTCAGATACAGATTTTTTTATGTTCTGCCTATGGGGGCCAATGATTGCCAGTGCCTCCCCACCCACCATCCAGCCCGGGTGGCTTTGTGCTCTCCTTTTGGTTGTGCAGGAGCTGACCTTAGTGGGGAGCTGGCTGTCTTAAAGACGGCAGCTCATCCATCATGGCTTTCACAGGCTGTCAGCGTTGCATTTAATCTCACTTGCAATTTTCCAAGGGAGGTTTGCAAAAGCCACAAACAGAATCTTAATGCTATAAAATGTGGTTTGTAGCCAGTGAATAATTCCTGTCTGTATGAAGCTGTGCTGAACTGTCCAGAGATGAAAAACTCCCAAATTCAGCCTAGAATTCCATGTGTTCTCCACAGTCCGCGTGCTGTTGTAACTGGTATATCTTCCCTCTCAACTCACATGTGCCCAAATGGGTTCTCAGAACCATGCACTTTGCAAGGAAGATGTGAAATGACTGTTTTCCTCAGGGTCACACATCGCGTTCATGAGCCTTCTTTGCCCATTTTATGGACTTGTCCTTCTGGGGCATCTTGCTCTTTGGTTATACCACGAGCTTCATGCCCTGCTTCTGTAAGTCCTGATCCAAACCCTGCCCAGACAATTACAGTTTCTAAAGTTTGGATGAAACTCGGGAAGCTTCTGCCAGCTCTTAAATTTTCATTTTTCATTATGTTCACTACGCCAGTCTTCCACCTTCATTCCCTTCTTAAGCTTTACCAGCAAAGGAACAAGCTAAATTGGAATCAATATAACCAGAATTATACTCTGGGAAACAATGCCAGATTCAATCATGGAGGTTTACTCTAAAGATGAGATATAAAGCTCTGCTTCCCAGATATATATTCAATAGAATGACCTTGCTCCCTGACCTGTCTGTCCGTGTCACGCTGACAGATCATATCTGCCACTGATACAGACCCGAGGAAGCTGCAATTTGTCAACAAGTCCCTGAGCTGTGCAGATCAGGGATGGATTTCTATGATACAGTTTCTCCTCTGGCAATAAGATGGGAACAAGGTAAATCCCTGGAATTATGTGGGCGTCAGTGACCTCATCAAGGGCTTTATCTCTTGTTTCTCATTCCATAGGTGTCTAGCCTCTTGACCAAATTATGAACTGAAAGAAAAATGTGTGGTTTTTTTTCCTCTAGATATCCCTCTATATTTACAGTTTCATCAGCAAACAGATTAATTAAATTACTATAGCTCTATTTTCATTGGTGCTGGAAGCAGTAATGATAATTATGACTGCATTAGATTTCAGAGGAACCTGTTTTCAGCCTTGAAGCTGAAAATCTCCAGCTAAATGTCCTGAAATTGTTTGTGCCAGGTGTCCTCCTCATGCTGAATTAGTTCATAAAATTTCACCAAAGCAGTTAATCAGGTCCTGAGGGCAAGATTTAAGAAAAATATCATGCTTTTAAAATGAACTATTGCCATTAATAACTTTAATGTTGTCACTTTAATTTGGCAGGAAACTGGAGTCCAAAACAAAACTTTTGCTGCTTTTTATAGAAATCCAGCCAAATTTGGCCAAGTTACAAGCCTCCAGCCACATAGAGACTGGGAGGAAGTTTTTCTGCACAATTTATTTCTCCTGAGTGTTCTCCAGTTCTCACAGCTCTTAGCAGTCTTGTTTCATTACAGAGCATAGCATGTCTTCCCTGCAGTTGTTCTTCCTTGCAGGTGGGAGAAAACATAGTTTTGATCCCTGAAAAGAAAAAAAAAAAGGAAAAAAAGAAGAGTGGAACAAAGGAGGAATTAGATGGGCAAAGACTAGAAAATCACGGAGCAAAAGAAAGAGCCATTTTTTATATTTGAGTATTGCTGTGCTTGCACCTTAATTATATTTACGACCTTACCATTCTTTAACATAAGGATGTTTCCGTTTATGTGCATTTTTTTTTCCTTTTAGGTAATGAATGGATAAAATCTTCACTGAAACTGCAGCTCTGTGTAATCATTTGCTCAGAACTGCAGTGTCTTTAACAAAATAAAATAAAAAATCCTCCTTCAGCTCAAACAAGGCATAGCAAGGAAAAAAATGATTATGAAGTCCAAAATAGACCAAAATAGTCTTCTATCCAGACAATCAATTTCACAATGGTGCCCAATAGACATATTGAATCCCGCATTTTGCTTACACAGCTGCCCAGAGAAAAACAAGGACCATATTGCTACCCATCTCCTTTTGCTAAAGGTTGGCAATTATAGCAGTTGGAAAGCTGTAGCAATCTTTCATTGTGTCAGTGAGTATTATTCAGGTTGGCATACAACCTCCCTGCTTACCCTTACAATATTCTTAATTAAATTAAGATTATACCTGTAACATAGAGGAATGGTCCTACTAATATTACAAAGTTTGTGACTCAGTGCAAAGGTGATGTGGAGGAATTTTGTGGTCTGTGTCATGCAGGTGCATGCTCGGTGCAGATTTACCTCCAGGCTGGAATGAACGGATTTTCCGTTTCATCCCAAATCCTGTTTCTCACTGTGTCCAGCTTTACAGATACATGCAAAAAATGCAGTGAGGTCACAACTTGATCATAAAGGGCATTTTCCTCATGGTAGGTATAAGAGAGTTGTTTGTACCTTGAGATATCAGGGTTTGTTTCCTTGGTAAATATAAATGGCACTTTGGGTGCATGAAGATAGAAATAAGAAAAAAAAAACAACAAGATTAGTTTTGCAGCAGACAGTAGCAACTGAGACTTTTCGTAGCCTATTATGCAGCCTTTCACAAGGCTGTCTCAAAGTACTTTTTTGCCTTTCTATCCAGAAGGTTGGAAAGTTACTTGAATAAATCATGATATCCAAATACAAATAAACAAAGGATGGATTTTCTGACCTAGAATTTGGATATACACCATACATGTCATTCATACAGTTCATTCATTCAGTTTTATGCTCAAATACTGAAAAGAAAGGGTAGTCTATTGGCTGGAAAGCCAGCTTAACATTTAGAAGCTCATAGGGTTTGCTCCTTGTTTTGCTGCAGACTTGCTACATGTTACTGGATGAGCTCCAGAAGTGCAAAAATTACCTCAGATGGTAGGCAGTGATACTCCTTATGATAAGCATTTAAACTCTGTTTAAGCCACACATTAATCAGCACACTAAGCAGCCTTCCATTTAGCAGGCTGGCAGGTCAAATGCCGAGAGGTAGCCAGCATGGAAATTTTAGGAGTAAGATCCCCATTTCAAAATTCAGGCAAATTAAACAAGAGCTGCCTTGGTTCCCTCTAGATTCATGGTGTTTCCTCCCCTTACAGTTCCTCAAAATACAAAGCCACATTTCCTCGATGGTCTCTGAGAACAGTAAGTACATGAGGCCGCTTAGGGAAGATGAGCTGAAAAACAAATACGTTTTACATCTTTGTACTACACAGGCATAAGCTAAGTGAATAGGATTACAAGCCTGCCAAGACCAAAACACTTAAAGGCATGCTCAGAAATTAATGTGACTGAAAAATCTTAAGGTATGAAAGCTGGTATGCTTAAAAAGTCAAGTTGCCTCCAGGATTAGGTTAATGCTGAACAGGGATTTTCTAGGACCTTAATTCTGTGTAAGTCTTTCTGGCCATCCGTTCCAGTCTATGGAATAAAGGTACCAGCACTATCAAACTATCGGATTAGTGCACTAAAGAGAGGAAATCCTTGGAAAAAATTGATGCATCAGAATTAGGGAAATAATATACTTGAGCACATGAATATTGCCAGTATGCTCTGTTCAACCATCTCATGGATTCAGTCTGATCCTTTCACTCTTTCACTTCTCTATTGGGTACTGTTAGAATATTTTCCTGTAAAATTAAAGGTCAGTGATTTGCAGTATCCAAAAAGCCAGACTACATATACAGTAATGTTCTTGTGTTGATTCATGCTCTGTGCATTAGGCAATATTCATGGACTTTTCTTTTCCTTGTAGGTCTCGACTGAAGAAGGAATGAGCTTAGCCAGAGAATACTCCTGCTCCTTTTTTGAGACTTCAGCTGCCCTCCGCTTCTACATTGATGATGTCTTTCATGGACTAGTGAGAGAAATCCGAAGGAAAGAGTCCTCACTGCCCATGGTAGAGAAGAAGATGAAGAGGAAGGATAGTCTGTGGAGGAAACTGAAAGGATCCCTGAAGAAAAAAAAGGAAAGTACAACCTGATGGCAATTCCCCATGAGCCACCCATCAGGAGCTGACCACAGTAACCTGTAACAGTTCAAAAAGGCAGCATTGACACAGCATCTTCCAGATCAGGTCCTGGAGTTCCTTTCCTTCAGCCCTCATGCAGAAGTAGCTCCTTGAAGGCCCAATTCATGGTTGCCCTGTGGCTCCTCTGTATTATAGATAAAGTCACTTAGCATACCCTCTCATCCCTTCTCTGCAAATCTGAGCGGAGAAAATACTGTGTTTTTTAACCTGTGGTCCCTGGCTGGTGTTCAAATGCTAGGAGTTAAGCCAGCATCCAAGGCAGAACCAGCTTCCACCAGCTCTAGGACAACGGATACACTTATTGCCTCCTCTCTACATGCATGGGTCATTTCACCATCCCAGGAATGAATAACATTGATTTCAATGGACATTTTGACTGTTTAAGGACCTTAGGATTTGACCTTCAGCTTTGCATTCACATGTAGGTTTAGGGTTAGACTGTGCTCAGCCTGCACGCACGTGTCTGTGTGCCAATCTGTGTATGTGACCCAGGCCCAAAGGGACCGCTGGGGGTTCCCGATTTTGACCCTGTAAAGCCTTATGCTCATTGTGTCCTTTCCATTTAGCAGGAAGGCTTGGCAAGCATAGCACAAATCATGCACCAGCTGTCTGGAGGCTGCAGGGCGACTGCTCTGTCCCCTCTGCTCACCGGGACTGGCTAGCAGAGCTACCATGTCCTACAGACATGCCATGCATTAGATTCACAGAATAGTTTGGGACGGAAGGGACCTTTAAAGGTCATCTAGTCCAACTCCCCCCTGCCAAAAGCAGGGACATCTTCCACTAGATCAGGTTGCTCGGAGCCCTGTCCAACCTGACCTGGAATGTTCCCAGGGATGGGGCATCTACCACCTCTCTGGGCAACCTCTTCCAGTGTTTCACCGTTGGCCACACTCCTGCATCCCACCAAGGAGCACACAAAGGCACTGTCTGTCTGATGCTTCCCAGAGCCCTCCCTAGAGCGATGCAGCTCTGTCCCAGCATGTAATGACATCTGCAATGTAGCATTCAGCCCTCGATTTACTAGAGAATTGCATCAGGTCAGTTACCATCTTTCACAGTCCTTGACCATCCAAGTGAATCACTTGATCGATCAGTTGGACAGGTCTTTTAAATATTCCTTTTTAAAGCTGGCATGAAGTAGAGTATAGTCTCATGGACCATTTTTTCCCCCAGACTTCTTTTACTATTGAGTTTTATTGATAAATTTTACAATTAATACATGCATTCATTTTGTCAAAAAATAAAGATTGTGATTTCCATGAAACCATAATAGTAGTCAGTGTTGTTTGTGTTTGTCCTGGAGTGATAATTGATAACATTAGAAAAATATGTATGTTTGTTAGTAAATGTTCTTTTTTTTTCATATTTTTCTTTGACTTTTTCACAGGGTTTCAACTAATTATATTTTGGATAATTTGGGGGGCAGTTGATTTGTTTTGCTCTGTTGAACTTGAAAAGGTTATGGTTTCATGAAGAATTTCAGTTCATTAAAATCTGTTATTTTGTTCTCCACTTTCCCTTCAAGAAAATCCAGTGGTATTTTTTGACTTGTCAGAAATTCTCCATCAAAAGTACAACTTTAGTGTCTATAGTTAGATAATACGTGGCTATATTTCTATTTTGGAAAGATTATTTCAGAGGAATACAAACACATGCATGCATTTAAGATGATTTTTCTGTTTCCTGCCTCCAACAGCTGAAGTCTGCGTTTATACTATTGTAATTACTATTATTATTTCACCTGTATTGCCACAGAGATTTTAGGTCAAGCATCCTAGAGACAAAGAGATGTGCTTGTCCAAAGAGTTTATGAGCTAAGTATTGGTGGAGAGACAACAGGAGGCTTCACTGAACAGATGGCAGCTATGAGACAATAAATAACAAGGGGAAACATCTGTGACTGTTCCAATACTGCACACTGCATAGAGGGGAATGAAGCAGTCGTTCCATGCATAAAAGACCATAGGAATTACTATCCTGAGGAATCTTGAGGGATGCTCATTGGTCTTTTTCAGGCAGATGCCTAAGCTTTGAGTCAACTGAAAACCACTTAGTGTTAGTTATTATGTCGTTTCACCCACCCTACTGGGGGACATATTATATCAACACTGGCTTGGCTCCGTAGTTTTAGGGGTACCTTGCTTCAAGTCAGTTTGTGTTACAGAAACGATTGCAGAAGAGGGCACAGCCTAAGATGAAGCCTTAAATGGATTCATGTATTAAACATGCCCATTCTCTGACATTAAGGTCATCTGGCACGGAGCATCTTTCCATGCTATTAAACTCTCTTAGCCTTCACAGCAGGGTTACCGCACACAAACTGCTCTTGGAAGCGGTCCCTGGACTCTGCTAGGTTCTGCACCGTGCTCAGCAACTGGTTACAAAAGTGCTAGCCTGCCATGGTCTGAAACCAAGCTGGGGATCATTTTAACAATTCAACAGTATAGATGTGCGCGGGTGCCTCCCTGGGTATGTTCAAATTACTAGTACAGACACAGCTTACATAGCCATATTTTTAGGTGTACCAAGCCCATGAAATTTCCAGGTTCAGAATGTCTCCACACTCAGCCCCTACATGCCATATTTTGAAAAATATTTGCTACTAGATTATTCTCTTCAAGACAAACAACTCATCACACCCTCTGAAGATCTTCTGCTACATCTTCCATGAGGAATTTCAGCCATCTGAATATGTATTGGGCAGAAAGGTCTGTATTTATCTTACACCACTTTGATCATATAAAACTTGAGCACGACATCCAGTCATTCAGAATCCCTCTTCAGTTAATAAGGAGAAGTCGTGATTTGTCTCATCTGGCTTGGATGGTTAGCATAGGATGAATCACCCCCTGAAATGGCTGCCTCTTTCCAGTGGCTATGTGTCACCCATAAAGAGCAGCTTGGTCTCTAAGCCTAACTTCTTGATGGCTAAATTCAGTTATGATAAACCCCATCTTTAATGATTTGCCCACCCAGTATCTATGGCAGAGAATGGTGCTGCAAATGCTTGGCATTGAATCTTGTCTCTGAAACACCTGACCACCCTTTGTTTTTAAATTGGGAAAGTCATTCTGATTTACCATCACCCAATTCCTCAATAATCTATAATGCTTAACCTCAGTTAATTGAGCAGAGCTGATGGAGGTTTATAGTCAGTGAGGATAACATAAGTCATAACTGCACAAGAGGCTGGGTGCAGCTGCTTAACCTAATTAATCACTATGATTCCATCACAGAAGATTGTATTTAGCTGTGAAACCTAGCTGACAGAATTAAGAAACAGCAGCTCTGTGTCTAAAGACTTTTCCATCTCTGACTAGTCTCTCATCTAATCATGTCTGGAAGATTTGAAGAAGGAAACCAATCACTTTATTTTGCTGTGTTGCCTATAGTCCCATGAAGGTGGCAGCTATAACTTACTCCACTGTCAGACTATGTTGCAGTTAGACTGTAATTCAGTTTCCTCCAGGATTATAATTAAAGCCAGCTAATAAATAAAATAAAATAATAACACTTTGCAAACATATCCATGGTGTCTCTCGCAAATATATAATATATGGCAGTTAATTACCCTTCTTCCCAGTTACGGCAGATCACATTTGTATCTAGTTGAGAAGTAATCTGGGGAAGGCTGTAAGTTAAGGTGGAATATTGCAGTACTTAAGTTTTCCTTTTTCGTGGGTTTTGCATACAGGTCTTGGGACCTAAGCACAGAAACCTTCTGCGTTCCCTCAGATTGTCAGTTCATGAACTATGTTAATGGTCTGATGTCTTTACAAATGATTGAAAGTCATTTCTTTACACACTAAAAGATGTGTATTTTGAGACTGAATTGTAAGAATGCATAGCTAGAATGAAGAAGGAATTCTCCTCACTTTGTCCACTATATATATTATATAATATATATAAACACAATATAGAAACAATATATAGAAACATAGAAACAATCATATATATAGTTTCTATATGTCTCTCATTCTTAGCCTTTCTTAGATATTTAAGCCCTCCATGTATGATGACAGATAGGAAAAAAACCGTATGCAACAAGCAAAAGATGGGCCTCAGCAGAGTTGAGTCTCTCATAATGATGATTTACACTCTACAACTGTGTCAACATCTTCTCCCAAGTTGAATGTTACTCTCTGTCGGCCAGATTGTGATATTTGTGATAAGCAAAATAGCTGCCAGTGGATCTTCTTGGAAAGACAGTAAACAAAGGTACCTGCTGCAGCCACCTCAGAAGGTGATGCTGAGATAATGATGTTGACTGTTAAAAATTAAACTGAAGACCATCAATTCATTTCATATAAATCATGCAAATTTTATAGTTGCTAATAGGAATGCACCAGTGTTTACCTGAATTTGTACTAGCAATTGAAAGATGGATGTCTAATATAGACAATTATGCTAATATAATTCAATTAAGTATACTTAGAGTAGTTAGCCATATTTAGACATCCCCCTCAGGGACTCTTATTTATACAAGTGTGCATCAGGCACACTGCTCATTGTTTACGACTCTGAAAAAATCCCCGAAAATTAACAGAGGAAAGGCAAAATTACAGAATGTGACTTTAATACAGTATTAAAATCTCTGTTCTCATAAAATTTAACGGCAGTTGAACAGAATAGTGTCTTAGACCAGTTCTGATTAGCCTCCTTTTTAACACAGTTTCTGGCTTGATCTGTCCTTTCAAGTATGTGGAGCTCCTTAGGAGCAAAATGATTTGTAATGGGGATGGCATTGTCTCACAGATGCTGTGAAAGTCACCCCAAGCGGCATTGCCCTGCACCTCTAGCTTGATTTATCACTCCCTGATGCTCCTGGTTCTAAGCCTCCTCAATTTGAGCTCTCCAATTTTGTTACATCGTGCTGAATTATGAGGTTGTTTTGTGATGAGGACAAATGTCCACTCAAGAGCACCAAACTCATTTCATGATCTGAACTT